ATAGCTGCAAAGGGGGGCAACTCCATATTAATGTCCACGGTATCGGAATGGGACGTCCAACAAGCTCATAAAGGTGTTATGGTCGGGTGTCCACATACGTTTGGCTGTGTAGTGTATATAAAAAGAAATGTACTTAATGAAGTGGCTGGTCAGTGTGTGTGTGTGTGTGTGTGTGTGTGTGTGTGTTCATTTAGAGTTGGATAGCATTAACCAAGATCATCATGACTTCATTTTTTCCTGCTGAGCTGTTTATTTGCTTTCTTCATTATTTGAACATAGATGATGAATGTATCACATTATGCTAACGTTGCTAAGATTAAAATACTCTATATTAATCAACATTTCTAAAAGGGTTTCAGCGTAGTGTCCACCATTGTTTATCTCATATCACAGATATATGGAAAATCACCAACATACTGTAAAATTAACTATAAAAAGTTGGTGTCAATTGACTTTCAGTTATCAAATTGTCTGTTTTGCATCACAGTGTGTATTACAGAACAAATAACGAATGTAATACAACATTTACGTTGTATTATTCAGTAAATCTAAATAAATAATAATGAATGTGCCATTTTAAAAAGGGTTTCAACTGGGCGTCCATCATCTATCAGTTACTGGGCATCAGTGGAAACTGTAGTGCTGTCTGGCAGCGGGTCAGTGGGGCAGTAGATCATGGCGGCCGAGCCCAGCTGCCCTTTGCGCAGGATGAGAGGTGTGTGGTTTGAAGGAAACGAGGTGGAAACGTGACGTCTCTGACATTTCAGCACACACAGTCGCTCCGAAAGGCCACTCTGCCCAACACGCCGGAGGACGTGATGATAGGTGTGATGATTGTTCACGTGTTAACTTTCCTTCCTCAAACAAAACATGATTACACTCAGCAGATATGAACTGCATATGGAAAAAGGGAATAAACTGAAAGACAGAATTGTGTTGATGTAATATATTTCATTCATGTGAAAAAGATACATATTTGAATCAAGTGCATGGAGCGTTCTTCTTTTTCAGCACAGACATAAAAAGATTTTCAGAGAGAAATTCCTCTTTTTCAGAATTTCTGCATCATTAAATGGTTTAGATGTAAACAAAGTCAGAGTGGTTTGGTGTGAAATGCTCTGTTATAGAGAAACTTACTGAGTCAGAATTGTTCGCAGTGGTGGTGATAGGAACCAGACGTCCACCTCTAAAAGCTCCCTTACAGAAAGTTATTACATGAAATAGTTATGAATCCACTGCCTGATGACTGAGACACTGTTTTATGATTTCAAAAAGAACCTGCTCTCTTAATCTCTCTTGACTTACGATAGTTTTCAGAAGGTTTTGGCCTTAAAATTATTTTAAAAAATACAAAAGGTACATGCCGGGTGCTGTGAAGCATAATAGTCTCTAAACAAAACTTTTTTCTTCAGATTTGACTCTGTTTTACCATCATCAACATTACATATAAAAAAAATCACAAGATGTGTACACTGTTAATCACCGCCAGGACTTCACAATATTTAACACTGTTTTTCACAGTAAAATACTTTATTATGATATCAACTTATCTTAGCATGTTTTCTGTAATAACAAATTACTGTGAGGTCAATGTGCAGCTGGACCGCACAGCATTATGGGATATGAAACACGTTTAAAAGTGTTTAGAAACAACATCTGTGTTTTAAAGACTTTTACATTTTTCCTCTGGATTTTGTTTAATTGTGAAAGTGCTGAATATTGAGGAGTTGACAAAAAATATTTTTTATTGATAATGCCAGATAAAAGCTTTTGTTTGTACAAATTACAAACCAAATTAAGTTTTTTTTGAGATATTCTGTGCATATACAGTGCAAAACATGGTTGATATATATGATATAATATCATGATGATATATATGTAGTCGCATTACTGCTGTAAAGTATACAATGTAAAATATACATGGAGTCCAGGTGACTGTGGAGTCACAGTAAAAAGTTAGTTACTGTTATTTACTACTAATGTAGCCAGTAATTTACTGTAATTCTACTACAATGTAGGTTCACTGGAGGTTTTGGATAGTAAATAATAGGGGTGGGAATCTTTAGGCACCTCACGATTCGATTCGATTACGATTCAGAGGCTGCGATGCGATTATAAAACGATTATCGCTGCATCTCGATGCATATTTTTTCTCTATGCATGATTTATATCTTCCTACTGTCTAAAAACTTGGTAGTTTTAAAGCAAAGTATTTGTAATGATCCATAATGTAAATGCATTACGGATCAATACAAATACTTTGCTTTAAATATCTAAAATATCTTTTATTAATAAATGAAATGGAGGTGATGTGGCAAGTGAACTAGAAGGCTCTCATTCAGAGACGCTGCTGCCACTCATCTGCGATAAAATGCGCTGTTACCCTGAAATAAAACCCTTTTTGTTCCCCTTTTAAGTACAACTATGGCAATGACAAGGTAGCTTGAATATGATTAGACATTCAAATGAAAGTAAAAATTTGGAGGATTTGTATTTCTCTCAGTATTTTCAAATGAAAACAAAAAGTAATTCCTAAATTTTGGGCTTCATTTCATTCTGTTGTGTTGGTCCAGCTCTTGGACTGCTACAGGTTGTTTTGGCTGCTTTCGCTCCCTTCATTTTTTCATTGAAGTAATAACATTTTCACTTGAGAGTGCAGTTAGGCTACTGTACCCACCTCTGTCTAACAGTTCCAGACTGGTCTCAGGCCGGGGCAGGTGGGCTTGGTGAAAGTTGCCCTGCTGCTATCATCGATAATCTAATTCAAGGGACAAAGAACTGCGAGCTCCAGACTCACACAGTGACCGAAGCCCTGGAGACACAGCCACATGTGCTACATTGGAAATCAATACAGGGCATGTAGGCCCACTGATGCTCAGGCTGTTACTTTTGCTCGAGTGTTGTGTCGTCTACATCTTTTCTTTTGTTGCGCTGTTGCAACCTGACTCCACACTCTGTGCGACGTGGACTAAGGGCTTACATTTATACACTATAATAAATACGCGTGTGTGTGTTTAAAGGGCCCATATCACAGAAAACTGATTTTTATCATTTTTTATCATTGCTAAAGCTTTGAGACATAATGTTCACTCCCTCATCCATACAGTGGATATCTAGAAACTTTGTTTTGAATTCATTGTTTTTGTGATGTCACAGAAAACAACTCATTTACATATACAGTATCCACCAATTCAGCTGTCAACAATTTAGATCTGCCCATTCACATATAGGCTATAAGGAGTGTTTCAGCCTGGAATGCACGTGGATGAGGCACAATAAAAGGCAGCCAATCAGAACAGAGCTCATTTACATATATCAGTCTTAAAGGCACGGTAACAAAAATTGCATGTTCCAATTTTAAGGGATGAAGAGATGCTGGAAAATGGTCATGTAAATAGATAGATGAGATAGATAGATAGAACTTTATTGACCATTGAACAGTAGCAAGACATATACATACATACATACATACATCATCTAAACCGCTTATCCTTCTGGGTCGCGGTGGGGTGCAAGACATATAATTGCACATAAACTTACATATACTATGCAAAAAAATAGAAAATAGAAATAAATCTAGATATAAGTTAAAGTACAAGAGAAATAAAATAAAAGTAAAAATATATCTATTTACATATTTACATGGCATATGAGACAGATTTGTTGTATTTACAAGACAGAAGGCACTGAGTGGTATGAGGTAAACTAAAAGCAGTAATAGTTGTAATATATTGCACAGTGTATATTAATCAGAGAGGAGATACAGTGATGTGGTTCAGCACAGTTCAGACAGCAGGAGATCAGTACCATCTCTGCAGTAAGGAGACTCATTGTAGAGCCGTATAGCAGTGGGTAAGAATGATCTCACACAGCGCTCTTTAACACAGCACAGCTGTAACAGACAGCCACTGAATGTGCTTCTATGAACTTTGACTGTTTTTACTACATAAAACCACACAAATATTATCACTGGGCCTGGGGCAAAAAATATGGAATTCAAGAAGAATGTGGAACATGGACCCTTTAAATATGTAGTAAGACCTGCTTGTATATTTTGCTGTAGATCTGAGCCTTTAATTCACATATTTATTACTTGCAAAGCTTATTTTGTGTCACATTTCAGTTGATTAAACCATAAACTCTGTGTATTTTGCTCTATTGATCTTTGCTTCTGCTATCATATACAATTATATACTTTTATTTTGCTATAACCAGCTAAAAGAAAAACCAATCGACTTTGGCCTCCACCCCACCATACCATAAACAGTTAAAGAGGCTTTTGTTAAATTCTTGGAAAATAATTTGGTTGAAAAAGATGTATGCTATTTTGCAAGGGCCAGTAATGTTACATACGTTGTTGTGGTCCTTAGGATATGAAGGCTTGAAAAGTAAACAAAGAACAAGATAAATAGGTGCATGTTAGTAAACTATAAACTTAAATTAGTTGACTTTAAAAAAATCATGTAGGCATATTGCCTCGAAAAAAATACATTACTTAACAGATTTAAGCCCAAATAACCTTACGTATGAGTTATAGTTACTTTCTAATTTTCACTGATCTACACTTCTACAGTAAGGTTAACTCAAACAGCCCATAATTCTAAGCAAATTTATCCAAATTAGCTAATTAACTTCAACAAATAAATAAACCCCTAAAAATTATGTTAATTAAGGGCAGGTATTATGTTTTACAGTGTAGAAGGAGGGCAAATAAATAAAAACAAGAGGCTTAAAAGTGCTGTTTGTCATGCCGTAAGCCTGAGGTTTCTAAAATGTAGTTTAAATTAATCTTTAATCTTTTTGTTAAGAGTGATTCGGATGGACTAGGACTGATTCGGAATGCATCAGCGTGAATCGGAAAGAATCGGAGTAAACCGGAGACAATCGGAACAAATCGCTTAGAAGCGGCCTGAATCGGATAAACTCGTCACACATCGTCCAGAATCGGCGAACTCCGTAAACCCCCTCCCTCACCGCCGACAGCGCAGGCTCCATTTTGCTGCCGTTACCGTTAGTTGCTTAGCTGCGTGTCGTTCGTGTGTCGATCCGCTATTCGAGCAAAATAAAGAAATTTAAAAACGTGGAAAAGGCGCATTTTCCCGGCAATGGACGGGTAAGTGAATGATACTGCATGAATGTTAGGAAAAGGCTGTTCTTACGTTTCGGTTTGTTATTAAACAGGACTTTTAAGGCGACTTCGCTTCCATTGTCTGCTGAACTAGAAGGCCGAGGCTGCTAACGCTGCTAACAAACCGATGCAGAACAATAGCTACGTTTGGAAATGAATGGAAAAGGTCGCATTTGGAAATAGATATAAACGATTGAATGTATATGCAGTTAATAAAAACATTTCTTGGAGATTCTTAAGGTAACTACGCGAAATTACGAGGCTGAAGTTGGATTATTATTCGCCAGCTTCTTGTTCGTAATTAACCGTTCCACCTTAAATGTGCAGCAGTTAGCTAACCTAGCTGTTTTAACGCCTAAGGTGCCAGAATGTAACTGCTGCACCATTTAAGGTGGAACGGAAAAACATGAACAAGAAGGTGGGGGATAGAAAAATAAAGCTAGCCAACAGTTTAGGGAAATTATTAAGATTTAATCCTCGGGGCTTGATAATAAGCTGATGAGATGAATCGTGAACTTTAGAGAAGAAAAACACTAAAATATATAATCTAGTGAAATATGTTCTAATATGTTTTAATCTGTGAGCAGGACAGGTAGGTTAACAGTTAAGCTACGTTAAAGGGGAATTCCACCAATTTTCAAATTTCCGAATAATTCAGACTTTGGGATGTAAACAAAGACATTCAGAGTGGTTAGATGTGAAATGGTTCATTGTAGAGAAACTTACTGACTCACAGTGGTGGTGATAGGAACCAGGGGTCACAATGCCTACAACACAAATAAATATATTATCAATTTTATTTATCATTCAAAACCACCAGTGAACCTGCACGTAAATCTGAAGAACAATAAGTGGTCTTTGGGCACTGTTTTGCCCTGCAACACCCTGCATGCATCCCTCCACCATGAATGGGTTGCAGTGATTTTAGGCCAAAACTTTAACTCAGGACTATCGTAAAACAGTGTTTCACACATCAGGCTGCGTATTTATAACTATTTGTTGTAGTAACTTTCTGTGATGGAGCTTTTAGAGGCCTTAAACTCTTCAGACCTCTGGTTCCTATCACCACCACTGTGAACAGTTCTGTTTCTCTAGAACAGAGCATTTCACACCAAACCACTCTGAATGACTTTGTTTACAGAGTTTTTGAAAAATCGGTGGAGTTCCCCTTTAACTGTTAGTTCAAAGCAGAATGAGCAAAGTTTGTTAGCTTCTGAGCTAACAGTGCTATCATGCAAGCATCAAAAGATGTTTGATTGCAGCAAATCATATAATCAGTCATATTTTGTGTGTTTCCTCCATTAGCATTGCTAGTGATGTTGCAGTTGGTGTAAAGGTAAGCACTTGGATTATTGAACTACTTTTTATCACGTCTGTGTTTTTGACGTGATCTGATGTGATGAAGAGGAAGAATAGATTCTCTTTCTTACTTGCCGCTTTATCTTTTCTCTTTACTCTTAGAGAAGTTCAGATGAATTGTTGTCTGGCAGTCTCTACAACAGTCCCAACTCTTCAGTCACTGGTAAGTAAGGGAAGCGCTTAAATATGACAAAATAAGAGTTGTCTGATAAGGTATTCTGCGTTAGGTATATTTTTAGATGTATTGGGTTACAATAAGAAGTATTTAAATTTTACTAATAGACTGAATGAAGTTCGTATTGTATGGAAGCTCATTCTTGCCAGCCAGATGAGAAAAAATAGCAAATGTTATCTTTTTTTTTTCCATTCTCCTTTTCTGGCAGTATGTCAACTTTGACTAATTTTCTCAAAATTTTGACTGTAGTTTAGTATCTGAAAATGAATTTAAATTTTGACCTAGTATCTCAAAACAATAATTTATTTTCTCAAAATATTGATTCGGTATCTCAGAATTACTTATTGTCTTGAAAATGTTGACTTAATATCTCAAAATTGTTTTAATGTCTTGAAATGATTTACTTTCTTAAAAATTTGACTTAATGACTAAAATAACGACTAATTTTCTCAAGATTTCGAGTTGAGAAAATTCTGACATACTGTGTTGAGCTAATGTTATGAAGTAATTAAGTAATTATTTCAGAAGAATGAGTCAATTTTGAGTACGCAAGTCAATTTTGAGTGTCGTTATTTTGACACATAACAAAAAAATTAAGAAAATTCTGACATTCTAGATCAAATTTTTAGGAAAGTAACTCTTACTGCCGCCACAAACACAAAAAAAGAAAAAATTATAGGCAGTTTATTTGTGTATATTCTTTCCTCTCCCTCTTCTACCTCTTTTCATAATATGATAACCAGGTTTTCAGTGTTTTACTGGACCTTTTACCTTTAGTCTGCTGTTAGTTTGCACACTACACCATCAGCAAGTACGTACACAAATGCGTAACAGACACCCAATTATATGAACAAAGATTCAGTGCAGGTATAATGTCTTGAAAACCTGATATCTATTAGTTAGTTTTGATGCGGATTTGTCGGTTTTGGGAATTATGATGTCTGTGAACATCAAAAACATTCTACAGCCAGAGTCTCACTTTTAATGCATAATATTAACCAACCCTCATTTCACAGCTAATGGAAGTGACAGCAAAAAACTGAGGGTGGAGGACAGCATGGACAGCCCACCTTCCAGAGTCATTCACATTCGTAAACTTCCTAACGAAGTTTCTGAGACAGAGGTCATTGCCCTGGGCTTGCCCTTCGGGAAAGTCACCAACATCCTGATGCTGAAAGGCAAGAATCAGGTATGAGAGAGCAAAATGAATTCTGAGAAGCTTTTTTAATGCAAATGTTATTCCAAGGGCACGGAGTAAAAAAGGTTCGAGATATAAAACGTTTTTCTGCAGTTAACCATTTTGATTTTTTTTGACCATTGGGTCCAGGCTAAGGGCAGCACTTTTTCTCACCTTGAATATTTATTCTCTCCCCCACTCTGGCCTGCAGGCGTTCCTGGAGCTTGGAACAGAAGAAGCGGCAGTGACTATGGTGAACTATTACACGGCAGTGACGCCTCAAGTGCGAAACGTCCCTGTATTCATCCAATACTCCAATCACAAAGAGCTCAAGACTGACAGTGCTCTCAATCAGGTTAGCAAACATGGCCCTCGTCATTTTAATACCCATCAAATCCAGACCAGAAATAGATGTAATGCGGAGAGAATTGGCAGCTTTGTTTGGGGATTTTTTTTTTTTATTTTCCTTGAAGCTAAACGGACTACAGGAGTCTAGGGGTGGGTTTTACGGGAGCTCACCTGCTTCAGTGACTGATTTCACCTCAGTTCAGTGGCAGAAGTTTAACAGGTTGTCTCCATATGTGTATTCTTGTTACAAGATCACATCTGGACCCATGAGGCTACACTAGTGCTCATATAGGCTTATATCATAACATAAGAAGGAGAAGTCATACAAATGCTAAGTTTATTAACTGTGAAAATGGTTGGCAAATATATGTAGTAGGTTAATTAAAAATGCTAAAACTTATAGACAGAGTCAGCGTGAAATAAGGAAATCCAAGGACAGTTTCTTCCAGTACTCTACTTCGATGTATTTAGATGGTTTTGAGGGTCTCTGAGCTACGATGATGAGGGGGGAGGTGAAAGCACTGCTCTAGAGTGGAAGTTTCAGTAGTCTAAGGAGGGTCTAAGTATGTTTCTGTTCTTTTTCTGCTCTACCCAGCGGGCCCAGGCTGTGCTGCAGGCGGTTTCTGCTGTCCAGGAAGGTGGATCTCCAAGCTCAGACACTGCTAGAGATGGTGTTTTAACGCCTGCACCCAGCCCGGTCCTGCGTATAATCATCGACAACATGTTCTACCCAGTGACCCTGGATGTCCTGCAGCAGGTCACTGCTCCACACACATTTACCTAGAGATGACACTTTAAAAATCCACCCCATAGATCACATAAACGTCTATTCCTCATTGTAATGACTACATAATGCACATATTGGTTTCACAGGAATTAGTGCAAAATTCGCAGTGGTTTCTAAATAATAAATCTGAAGATTAACTGAATAACAAGTGTACAGTTTGAGGGATTAACTACATAATTTGCTTATTTGTTTCATAGTATTTATAAGAAAAAAATTCATACTTGCTGAATAATACGTTTTAAAATTAATAACTGAATAATAAACCTGTTTTATTAACTAGAGCATACAGGCTTTCTTTTTGGAACCTGCTACCACTGACATCACATCTGTCCTTCTCTTCTCACTTTCAGATATTCTCCAAATTTGGCACGGTCATGAAGATTATTACATTTACTAAAAACAATCAGTTCCAGGCGCTGCTGCAGTTCAGTGATCCAGTCAACGCCCAGCAGGCCAAGCTGGTGAGTGATTTCCACTTTTTAGGTCTTCAGTCAGTTGAAATAAATGTAATACTACAATGAAACACTGGTTTTAGAAAAAGTACAAAAACATAAATACAGTGAACCAGAACACGAGTGCTTTTAGTTTCTTTGTTAAAATGTTGATGTTATTTTGGAGTAATATGTGCTTACTGTCTAGATAGTGAACTGCATTACCTTTCTTTTTCTCAGACTTTTGCACAGTATTGTATATAATATAGCTTATTATATATACTTTTTTCATGATCAGCATCATTAACGGGCAACTAATTATAGAAAATATGCAGTTTCATACTTTCACAGTTAATTTTCAGTGCTAGCTTAGTTCTGTGATGTACCACAATAAACATCTTGCATCTTTTATCACTGTCTGAAGTCCCTGGATGGACAGAACATCTACAACTCCTGTTGCACCCTGCGCATCGACTTCTCCAAGCTGGTCAACCTGAACGTGAAGTACAACAACGACAAGAGTCGAGACTACACCAGGCCGGAGCTGCCGGCAGGAGACGGCCAGCCTCCTGTAGATCCGGCAATGGCCGCTGCGCTCAGCAAAGACTCCACCTCGCTGCTCGGTAAGGCTTAATGCATTCAGTGAGTCTTGACATATATTAGATCTCTGACTTGATCCTGTCACAGTTCTTAAGGAAATAATTAAGTGCATAATGAAATTTCAGATTTCCCCACAATTTGAATTGATTTGGTTACTTTGGAATGATTCTGAATTATTTTAATGAATATACAGGATATACAACTATTATTTGCAAATGGTCTGGGACGTTTATTTTGGCCGAAAGGTGAGCACATACTGGGCTGCACGATAAATCATATTTTTATCGCTATCGAGATGTGGATATCTCAGATAAACACATAAGGGTGACATAATTAGATTAGAGGGATGTAGTGTCAGAATCCCAACAAGTGCTTCCAGGGGCTGGAAATGACACCTGCTGTCCTGCGTATGCAGTGAGCAGCATAACCATTCGTCCAAACAACCAATGCAGTAATGGCTACTGTCACAACAAACCTGCATGACTATAAGAAGCTTTTTAGGAAATTAACTATATATTAGTTTGTCTTTGTTTGCCTATATAGGTAATAACGATGTATAAACATATTTCTTTATAGATCTATATAGAATCTAAAAAAAGAAATGTAATTATTTTGTGTAGGTTTTTTAGAAAAAGACTTTTTTTTTAGAAAAAAACTTTTTTTTTCTCCATGACTTTACACTGCACAGAACATGTGCTTTCAATTAAGATGTAAATAATTATTAGAATTTCTTGGAATTTTTAGATTTATTAGAATTTATTAGTTTTTTATTGATTATATTTGTGAAATTAGCTTTTGTAATGTATTTCATTTGCTGTTTGCTTATAGGAGCAGTTAGATCTGTTTACACAGCAAAAATAGTATCTGTATTTGAAGCACATCCAATCAGAGCCACACTAATATATATATATATATATATATATATATAAATATAATTTTTTTTTTGATGTCACATGATTTATATAACAGCATTATCGAACATCATGTTATCTCCAAATCGTGCAGCCCTAGCGCATACTTTGTTAAATCTTGTTTTAATTTAATGTAGCATTACAAAATCAACATCTTCAGATTGATTTATCTTGGTTTTGCATTTTTACACCCCTGATGTGTATCAGTGGTCAGCGATACACATAACTTGATCCTGGTGCTTCTCTTTAGCAGAATCCATCTTCTTAGATATTCACCTGTTTTAGCTTCCATATGCATCTGTTGGTGAGGGGGTTACGAGTTGACAGCATAGCAAAGCACTTTAACTAAGTTGCTGTATATTTATTACTTAATGGTACTTCAAGAGCTTTGATGATACACGGAAGTAGAAAGTTGCTCACTGGTAGCTCATACTTAGGTTTGCTGTTTATTTGCTGTTTCAAATTAGGGATGCACCGATTCATTGCTGGTACTAATATATTTATACCTATAATCCAGTTGCTCATAGTTTTTGATGCACATTGAAAAGACGCATTAAACATTTATAGAGAACCAGCCAAGTAGTTTTTGACAGCTCTTCCATTGATTTCTCATGAATTTATCTGTGCTGATCTCTCCCAATGTCTCTTAAGCCTGTTTACACTACCTGTACCACTAATAACTAGTTAAATTATGACTAAAGTTAGGGTTTTTTTAATATTTGTGGAGAATGATGGCTTCTACTTTTAAAACAGCTGTTTCAGATTCATAGAAGTCTCTTGCTCAGTGTACAAGTTGTTTTCAAGAGCAAAATATTTTTGTGTATCTTTTTTTTCTTGCCCAAATTTGAATTTGCAGACTGAAGGAAATAAAGCAAAGATCAGAAAAATGCCAAAACACAGAACAACAGTTTTGTGATTTACTCAGATCGGTTAGTAATTGGAGGCATTTTCAGTGTTTTTTTCACTATGAACTAGGATTATATGGGAAAAAAAAACACGATACTTGAAAGGTACGTTTTTCAGGTATTTGATAAATAACAGGCCAAATGCCCCAGCAGTGCCACATTAAAAAAAAAAATACTATCAAAACTACACGGGGTGCATGGATTTTAGTCAGCTTGTCACATACTGTCCCACACTAAATTCAATATGTTTTAATGATGTTTTATATAAAATTGTGTAAATTATATTTGCATAAATTATCTTAAAGATGGATGGTTAAGTTACTATTTTGCAGCATACACTGTCTAAAGCTCAAAAGCACTTTATTTCTTGTAATGTTTTAATGTTTGTTTTAATATAAGTTGTGAGTAAGAGTTGAAGTCTTGTAAATTTTCACACTAAAAAATCAAATTTATGTTAAATGAATTTTGGCCCCAAAAAATTGGTTATCGGTGTCTTTGATAAACTGCTAATCGGTATCAGTATTGGCCCCGAAAAAAACCATATTGGTCGACCCATGAAACAAAGTCTAGCGTGGTTTTATCTGAGATGGTTCCTTATAGAGAAACTTACAGATTTATTTACAGTGGTGGTAATAGGACCCAGGGGTGACAGTAACCACAACACAAATGTAGCCATTGTAGTTACTGTCCAAAAATAAGAAATAGTGTATATATCGACTAGAGTTAAGATAATTTTACTTGACAATATACAGTTTTTTTTGCAGTGCATTAAACAGTGCCTCAGACATCAGGCAACATTTTCATAACTTTTATGTAATAACCTTCTGTGAGGGAGCTTTTAGAGGCAGTAAACCTTTCAGACAGTTTAGATGTCTTGGTTCCTATCATCACCACTGTGAACAGTTGACTCGGTAAGTTTGTCTAGAACAAGGGATTTCACACCAAACCACTCTGAATGACTCTGTATCTTAACCATTTAATCATACCGAAAGTGTGAAAAGTTGGTGGAATTCCTCTTTAAATTCTGATCTCCTTATGCTCATAAAAACATATTGTGATGTAATTTATCACAATATGGTAAAATATTGTCATAATGCCTCCCATCAATGTCTTTGTTGTTATTCATTATATTAAAACATAAATGTGTTTAGAATTATTACATTCATTACATGAATGTGGCCTTATTGTTTTATTAGCCAAGTTAATAAAAACTTTGCTTTGGTTAAGATTATTTTTGTTTAGTTAGAGAAGATCATAACTGGTGTTTGCTGCTCAGTCATATTTTTCTTATTTGAAGAGATTGAGGCTTCATTTTAACAAGCACCATTTAAGACGTATGAAAATATTTAGCTGCTGGAATAGTTCGTTAAACAAACGATCCTGGTTTCTGTCTGACTGTGCTTAATATAATGTTGCCATACAATAGAATGACATTGCCAGCGCTTCGTTGATGCCTAAAATGCAGAGAGGTTTTGGTTGTGAAATTATTTGTACGTTGTTTCCACCAAACTACACCAATGCAGCATTACTTAAAATGCAGAAAGAATTAAACTTCTCGTCTGTGGCTGTTTTGCAAATATTTACCCAACAGCAAACAGCGCAAAATCACCCTGGAAGAAACAAAAAGCTCCGTTAAGCTAAGTTCATCACCCTGACATCAGAAACAGACTACAACACACAATGCGTTTTGCCAGAAGAAATGAAAATTGGCTAAGTACGGCATGCGCATTTCAAGTGCACTTATTCGGGCCAGTTGGCTTCTCTTATGTCTCTTCAAATTCAGACAGTATGTTCAGTAGTATTGAAAGTCTTACCAATTCTCTTGCATGGTGGGGAAAGTTTTACTCATATCTGTATACATTGATTAGGCATGAGAAAACAGATGTGCAGTGGTATGCGTCAGGCTAAAAACTCTTTCTCAAGCTCTTACCTTGCTGTGCCTGACAAATCATAAAGAAACATTTTGTTTTCTTCTCACACTTCATTTCTCCACCACTGAAACTTGTTCAAGAACCTGGAAGCTTTATGCTGTTTGCAACAGCTGGAACCCAGGCCAGGGTTAGTTTCCAGAACACAGCTTTTTTAGTTCCTTCTCCAGAGCAGGTGCTTTTCCACAGGCTGGGAAACACTGAGGGTGGATTTTATATACTGAATATTCTCAATTGGTCACAAGTTGTGTAGCTTGTTAGCGTAAATTAGGGGTCGGCAGTATGCGGCTCCAGGGCCTCATGCGTCTCTTTTACTGCCTTGTTGCGGCTCCACAGTAGAATTAGATGTTTGGGTAAAAATAAGCTCTGCTGATCGTTCAACACAGTTTAACAGTAAATGGTCTTAAACGCTGGAGTTAATGTAGAACTGCTAATTCACCCTTTAACCCTGAAGGTTGGTGCGCAGACCGCTGTTCACATAGCAGTGTAGGTGACAGTCTCGCCTAGCTAGTAGCAGCCTTGTAAAAAATCTAACGCTAAGAGACGTTTTACAAGAAACTGTTCTAGTTTGCGGAAAAGTTTCCTGCCGGAGATGTGAGAAAAGCAGCTATAGCTAAAGCTTAAAGCCGAGCAAAGTGAGTCTGCGTTTTACTGTATACTATATTTTTAGTTTATATTAGCACATTAGCACATACTGAGACGTATTTATAGCCACAATACAAAAAAAATGCATATAAAATGTTGTGGTTTGACTTTTGTCGAAAGGACAAAACAGCTCTTAGCATTTGGGTTGCCGATAAAATGGAGCAGTCGGTAGATTCAGGCCCTGCTCAGCATGAATGCGGAAGATGACATTTAATATAGTGTACCGTTATATATGCCCAAGTAGAGACAATGTTGAAAAATGTAGTGTTAAGTTGAAGGCTTTCTAATTTGACACAAAACAGCAAAAAAGTAATAACTGACGTTTGCTAGACAGCTAATGTGCTGGTTTGCTAGTGTAAGCTGACACTACTTAGTTAACTTGGTAGTACTGCAGTACTCACTTAACATAATTCGAATACTCAGAGCACTGTTTTGGTGTTTGATATGTTGTCACGGGAAGACAAAGAAAACATAGAGGCTAAAAATATTGCGTTTTTATATTTAAACAAAACTGTAAAATGTTAGTATTTCATATTTGTGAGTATATTGTATTACGGCTCTTAGCTGACGTCTAGAAACAAGGATATTTTTAAATGAAGGTTGAAAGATATTTCTCTGACAAGCTAACATGTTGGCGCATCATTCCACGAAGAGAAAAAGAAGACATCAGCATCCGATGCTGTACTTTTATATTCTTTTAGTGTTAGCTCATTTGCTCCTTTGGCTATTTTGATTAATTAAACATGTTTTTAGATCAGTGCTGTCCTCTTAAAAGTAAACCTAGAGCCCTAGGCCACTTTTGGCCGACGCCTGTTTCTAACCAAATATCCGTTCATTAAATCTTATGAATACTCAAAATTAGAGAGAATGCACATCCCTAATTGGTAACCAGTGTTGCTCCAAGCAGTTTTGCATCGCTCAAAATCAGTGGTTTGCTGTATTTGGTGGTTGGTGTATTTGCCTTCTACGCTGTGGACTGGGGTTCATTCCCCCAGCTGTGCAAGCACCCAGCTCTATACCAATAAGAGTCCTTGGGCAAGACTCCTAACACTACCTTCGCCTACCTGTGTAAATATGATCAAATTGTAAGTCGCTCTGGATAAGAGTATCTGCCAAATGCTGTAAATGTAAATTTGCATTACACAGCTCAATTTGCATAGTAGTTAATGGTTTCCATGCCCTGCTTGAACTACATCTCTTGGGAACTTTAGTCTTAGTTCAAAAGTATTTTAGTGCTAATAGTCAGGAATAGTTTGGACCCTGGGTAGATGTTGGCCCTTTTTTTTAAGAAATGCAGATAATTAGGCCTAGTTGATGAACTCTAGTTGTTAATACTCTATACTATGAATCCACAACTGCCAAAGCTGATTTTAATCTATATTGGTCGACGTTAGTGTGTCTATACATGTCTCGGTGCATCCCTAATTAAACTTTCAGAGTTCATTAGAGTCCCTGGCCCTCCGTTCCTATCTGATCGCGTACGACTTTTACTCTACACATTCTCCTAGGTACTCCATCCGGAATGGTAACTTCCTACTCTAGTGCTGGAGCTTTGCCATCTTCTCTAGGTACCTATGCTTCTGTTATCTACTGTTTCTCTCTTTCTCTTGTTTCCTTTCTTAACCCTTTTGTGTTCTTTCCTTCTCTTGGAGGAAAGAGACTCTTTGCCAGTGCTGTCAGAATTGGCGGGGCTTTCTCTACCGAAACAGCTCCATCCATTTGTCCTGACTTGTTGGATTCTCGTTGTTGCTCTTTTCTGCAGAGCGCTAATCAGAAGGCACAGCAATAAGCCCTACCATTCTGCATTGTGGCCTTGATGTGAGGGATTGACCCATGTTCGTAATGAGACACTGCCTTTCAGACAGACTGGCCAATCAATCTACCTCGTAAAGCTCCACCCTGATAAAGAAGTGTGGCTGCTGGACTGCACAGCGACAGTGGAAGGGAGGAAAGGCCTGGTGATATGTTTAGGGTCCAACCGATATGAGCGTTTTGTCAGTGATGCTTAGTTTAAGGAGCTAAAAATTCTGCTAGTCAAAAATTTAACTGATTGGATTAGTTTTAATTAAACTTTAATTAGTTTAAATTAAAATTTTAGTGACAAATTTCTTAAATAAACAGCAGAAAATCAAAGGAAATAATAGAAATATTGACTAACAAAGTGTGTAAAAAAACAGTGTTGTGATACCTCAGCATTCTCTGTGGTTTTGGTTGGTTTCTGCTCAATTGCTCTACTTTTGTCAGTTCTCTACTTTTTTGTATGTTAAGGTTACGTTTGTTTTAACGTTAATACTTTTTGTGTTAAAATTAACTAGCTTAGCTAAGCACAACTAGCACAACTAAGAAGAAATGTCTGTGCTTTATCAGCTTTGTTAATTTATTCTTTATATATGTATGTTTTAATCAATAAATATGTGGACTCTGAATATCGGACAGTTTTTTCAGCCAGCTGCTAAAGTACTGTGCAAAATTCCAATCGAAACGGCCATTAAATACAAGTTAGTAATTTTTCAGGAGATTAAATATAAGACAATCTACCATCAGATTCACTTGTTTTATGGACTGATAAGTCTAAAGTTTTTCATTTTGATTAATTGGGAAACGCAACCAACTTCTAGGACGGAGCTTAGAGACGAAGCTGGAGAATTTTGTTGGAAAACTCCCCAAAATCTCCCGAAAAGAATGGACGCCGAGGCAAATGGCAGACTTTTGTGTCATTACAGTTTACTATCCTGTGCAGAAGTGTCAGCACAGTGTTTTAAACCATTTGTCTTGGCAGTAAATGTTTTTTGCCAGTGAAATCAACATATAACTTTAGATTAAATACAAATATATATTAATACAGTAGAAAGTAACAGGAATCTCCTATTTTCAGAATAATTTGGCATCTTATGAGGTAGATTGAAGAAGAAAGTTGGCTTCCAGATTTCTCCTGTATGCCTCCAGCCATCACAGGGATTTTATTAAATTCCATCCACAGCACATTTGGTATAACATAATGTGGTATTGATTAACCAAACCAGTTTATTTCAGTTAGCCTAATACTGGTCTTCCTTGAGGAGAGGTCTGGAAATGGTTAAAAAACACAGACATTTATAAAATCACTGTCCGTTGTATTAATATTGTGTTTTTTTTCTGAGCGAATAAACTCTTCCTGCCCAGATAAGCAGCTTTAAACCAAATTTTCACAGGTGGCTGAACTTTTGCACAGTACTGGTTCTTCTCTGGCTTTTGTTCTGATGCTGAAAAGCTAATAGCTTCTATTTACTGGCTAGAAATGAAAGGTGGTCTCTGTTTTTGCACAGTTCTGTGTATCGGTCGGCCCCTAGTGTTTATCTGGGTGTTTTCCTCCTGAATGGCAGTCTGTGTGAAACTGAGTCAGTGGTGTGTGTAGCTCTCTGTATGAAGTGTGTGTTGGATGCGGTTTGGCCGGCAGGGTTGTGGTGGTCTGTACGTGTGCTTGGCAGCGCTGGTGGGCTGCATGGCCGGAGCTGGACTGAAGGCTGAGAGGAGACTGCTGCAGGTTTACTGGAGTCTAAATGACTGACGTGACTCACGCTGAACTATTTATCTCTCTCTTTTTTTGTCTCCATCTGTTTCTCTTTCTCTCTGTGTCACCCTCTTCTTTCTCTCACTCACTCTCTCACATTCTTCCACACTCTTCTTCTGCCCCTTCTCACACATGCACTCTTTTCTTTTTCTGTTGATTTCTCTCTTGCTTTTTCCCCATTTTCTTTTACTTCTATTCCCTCTTCCCTTCCTTTTCTATCTTTATTTTTTTCTTTCTTTCATTTTCTTTTATGGCATTTTTTTTTTTCTTTTTCTTTTTTCCCCCATTCCCTCACTTTCTCACTTTTTTATTTTCCTTCCTTTTTCTTTGCTTTATCTCTCTTTCTGTCCTCCTCCTCTCTCTCTCTCCCTCTTCCTCTCTCTCTTACTCTTTTGCTTTTTCCCCATTCTTTTCCCTCTTTTTTTCCTTTCTTTCCCTGTTTCTTTATCTTTCATTTTCTCTCTTCTTTTTGTTAATTTTTTTTCTTTTTTTACTCTCCCCACTTTCTCCCTCTTTCCTCTTTCTCACTTTTTCTGTTTCCTTTGCTTTCTCTCTCTGTCTCTTTTTTCTTTCTTTTTTCTTTCTTTATTTCTCTTTACATTTTTACTCCTTTCTGTTTCCCTATTTTCTGTCTCTTTCTCTCTTCCTCTCTCCCTCTTCCTCTGCCCCCCCCTCTCTTTCTTTCTTTCTCTCTCTCTCTCTCTCTCTCTCTCTCTCTGTAGGGGCTATTAGTCCTCTCAGTGCAGCGGCTGCAGCAGCGGCGGCAGCCGGCAGGGTGGCGCTGTCTGGACACTCAGGAGGCAGCGGAGTTCTACTGGCCAGCAATCTGAACGACGAGGTCAGTGCAACACACACACACACACACACACACACACACACACACACACACACACACACACATCTCTACCTGCTCTCTCTGTTTTTCTCACTGTGTTCAGTCAGTTCTCCAGCACAGTCTGTCTCCGTACGCCTGTACGGTCATTACTGGCCCAGGCTCATTTTTATTTTCTTATTATTTCTTAGTTCAGAAGACCTCCTACCATTTTTCAGCATCACATTTATTATTTACAGCATTGTACTAATGAAATCAGGCATAAAAGCAGACTGTGAAGTTTTACAGCAGTGGTCGCCAACCCTGATCCTGGATATCTGCAGAGTCTAGTTCCATCCACAGTCTGTCGAACCTGCCCAGCTAATTAACGTCTTCAGAAGTTCTTGATTGCCTGGATCAGATGCATTAGTATTAGCTAAGGGGGGGGAACAGTGTGTTAGATGTGACAGGTTTGGAACTAAGCTCTGTAGAAGGTCGATCTCCAGGAGGAGGGTTGTTGAGGATTTTCTAATTAAGTGAGGTTCATTTTACAAGAAGAAATGGCTTTAGATGAAGGTCTCAGTCAGAAATGTAATGTCACTGTTGATTTTATTAATAATTGAATACTGATTTTGACAAGTAAGCAGATAAGTGAGTGAACAATAACTGCGTATTTTCCAAAACTCTAAAAATAAATATATATGATAAAAATATATGACTTTTTTGGCAAAAAGCATATAAATAGGTGTGTTTTTATGTAAGAGCAGCAGAAGAATATTTAAAATAGTCATGTGCAAAAGTTTGAGTACCCTGGTCAAATGACATGTTTGGTTGATTTTCTGTGAAAATAAGTTAAAAAATCCAGTTTCTATTTATTTGCTGAGTTTAATGTATTGAAAACATTATGTATTGGAAAATAAAACGCTAAATGGGCCACAGCTTTTGCACATGCCCCATTTATGCTTTATTTTTTCCCTTCAACATGTTAAATTCAGCAAATAAACAGTAATCGTGCATTGAAATGTGCAGAAGTGTGTTCTCTGTAGAGGATGTGTTCAGTCATTTTCTCTCAGAAAATCAACAAAACATGTAATTTGACCAGAGATGTGTAAACTTTTGTATACAATCGTGTAGATTATTAAACAAGCGGCAATTATTTAGCGCCAATTTGATAAGAAAATGTTTACATTACAACTTTCCACATTAACTACAGCTTTTCAGAAGACCTCCATGCTGACCTCTACC